GGGCCACACACCGTTGAGCGAGCTGAGAAGCACACCTACTGCCTCCGGAGTGTAATCACTGATTGTTTTATTTTCCTAAAATAGACGTCACATGAAATTTACCTTGTTAATTTTTGAGTATACATTTCAGCAGCATTAAGGACTTTCACAGTGATGTGCAGCCATCACCACGTCTCCAGAGCTTTTTCATCTTCCTAAACTCAAACTCAGTCCCCACTAGACAATAGCTCCCCGCTCCCCCTCCTCCAGCCCCTAGCACCCACCCCTCCACTTACTGTCGCTTGGAACTTGCTTCCTTTGGGCACCTCACTTATGTGGAATCATATAGTGTCTGTCCTTCTGTGATCGGTCCATTGCTTAGAATGATGTCTTCAAGGAACAACTAACTTTTGGTGGTTGTTTAGGCTTTCCTGGTGGCTCAGATGGTAAAAAATCTGCCTGCAATGCAGGATACACAGGTTTGATCCCTGGGTTGGGATGATCCCCTGGGGAAGAGAATGGCAACCCACTCCAGTATTCTTGCCTGGAGACTCCCATGGACAGAGGAGCCTGGCGGGCTGTAGTCCACGGGGTCACAGAGAGTCAGACATGACTGAGCAACTAACACTTTGACTTCACTTGCCCAGTTTACATGGAGTTTCACACACATTATCTCTCTGACTTGGCATAGCTACTTTGTGGGGCAGGCTTTTACTCCGTTAGAACAAAATCTGTCAGGCAACTCTGGGGCCACCCTGAGGTCACCTGCAAGCAGTGTTCTCACCTTGAGCCTCACTGTATCTGGACACAGAGTGGACCCAGAAGAGCTGGATGTTGCCACTCTGAGAGGGACCCTTGCCTATGAGGGGTGGGAGGTGGCACCACTTTTATCCCCAAGGAGGACAGTTCTGAGGTGAGTTGCTTGCATCCCTCAGAGGGTTCCCACTGTCCTGGGCCCCTGAACTCCCTGAGTCACCTACTTTGACTTCCTCACTTCCGTCTGAATTCCTCACTCCCTCTTGTGTTCCCTGGGACAAGCTTCTACAGAGACTATAGACACAAAATCCTTGCCTCAGGCTCTGCTTTGGACAGTATAGATAACTGTCTCTGTATCTATACTATAGAGAGTAGATAACTGAGTCAGAGGGTAACATGTTGGCCCTTGCCCACCTAGTAAACCTAGAGTCCTCCTCTTCTCATTCCAAGTGCAGTGTCCTCTCGCTTCTCCCCTCCTTGCAAGACGAAGTCTCGGTCTCAAGCATTTAGTCTGGTCTTGCCTGAGAGAGATTAGAAAGGGAGTGTTAGCCTAGAACTCTCTTTCCTACAGCAAGTGTCCTGGGAAACAAATGACCTCAACTGAGACTCCTCACAGAGAATGTAACCTCAATCAGACGGCTTTGTAAAAATGTACTCAGGGAAATGGTCCTATTTTCAGCAGGATATACCTGACCTGTCAAGACTGAGTACTATAAACAAATGTGGAATGAATAGGTTTATGCGGGCTGGGGTCCTCCCAGGTGGGGGAATCTGAGAGTTGTTGCCTAACAGATTAATTTTGTTTTTTTCAGGGATCGATCGAGCAGGATAGTGAGGAGAGAGGGTGAGGGGAAAGTGCCAGACAGAGTGCGGAGACAGAAGGAGTTTGGAAGACCTGCCCAGTGGATGGAAGAAGAGCTAAAGGGAACCTGATGAAAGGCCAGCCTGCTGGGACTCCACCCCCTGGGCAGGAGCCCTGATCACGCTGTTAGTAGTTAGAATAGGAAAAAGGAGTCCAGAAGGGTGATGGCTAAAAGAAAAGGAAGGGAGAAGCCCGCAAAAATAGAACAAAGGAAGGACCGAGTATTGGAGTGAGGACCTCAGGTAGAACAAACAGCACTCCTGGCTAGCCCAATTTACACAGGGCAGGCCCAGGGGGAGGAGAAAAAAATGTATAAAAAGAGGAGCCAAAATGGGCCGGGGGCCTCTCTTCTCTTCGAGTCTTTTGGGTCGGCATGCCCTCACGTCTCGAGGATGTATTTTCCTTTGGTGGTGGTGGTTTAGGCATCTAGTCATGTCCGACTCTTTGTGACCCCATGGACTATAGCCTGCCAGGCTCCTCTGTCCATGGGATTCTCCAGGCAAGAGTACTGGAGCGGGTTACCATTTCCTTCTCCAGGGGATCTTCCCGACCCAGGGATCGAACCTGGGTCTCCTGCACTGCAGGCAGATTCTTTACCCACTGAGCTATGCGGGAAACGATTTTCCTTTGCTTTTTAAGTAAAACTGAACTGTAACACTGGTTCGTTTGAGGGCTATAACGCTGGTCTGTCGTCCATCACTTCAGATTTTTGTTGTGACGAGACAAAACCAAGGAAGCTACAAATGTCACCTATGGTGACGTAACTAGGCCATTCTGGACTCCTTTTTCCTATTCTACCTACCTAGCAAGACCAAAGGGAGGGTTCTCTGCTCCACTCAGCAGCCTGGGCGGGACAGAGAGTGAGGTGGTGAGAGAATCAAGAGACACGTGAGGTGAGAGTGGCTGGACCTAGGCCAGCAGAAGTCTCACAGACTAGGTGAGAGATGACACAGGGGGGACTCAAAAGGGGGTGGGCCCACGGCCAGAGGTAAGGTCTCTGTGGTGTAGAAATCCAGGGGTGGTGGAGCAAGGAAGCAGGTGATTGTGACCGGACGGTCACGCCATGGGGTTTTGGTTTCCAGAAGGGGCTGGCTTGAGAGGCAGTGGGACTCAGGGTACAGCCCAGAAAGGAGAGGAGCTGCGGGTCCCTTGAACTGACACGGGGAAGGAGGCCAGGGGAGGACTTGCAGAGAAATTCCAAGACGTTAGAGTGCCACCCCGGCCAGACTGGACAACAATGTGAGTGGGAAGAAAGAGAGGCCTGGGAGCCATATTCCAAGGAACTTGAAGAATGTGGTACCAGGAAGCCAAAAATAATAGCGACAAAGAGACAGGAGGGGGTGGTGGGCAGGACCAGATGGGTCTCCAAGGACCACTTCCCCAGCCGGTCTGCAGACTGAGAGTGGCTGGCCTTGCTCCCCAACACCCCTCCCACCCCCACCCCATGTGGCCGTGTGCTTGCCTTCACTCCTGCCTGCCCTCTGCCTGGAATCCTCTCGCTCCTTGGTTTTTTGAAATCCCACCTCCCTTCCAGCAGCCAAAGTGTAACTCCGTGGAACATTCCCCTTTTACTACAAAAGATTGGATTCCCTTCCTCCTGACTGCCACCCAACTTTGTTTATAACACCCTCTTGACACTGACTGTGTGCAGCTTGGAGCTACAGATGCCTGTGTGTACCTTCCTCTCCTATTCTAGAAGACAGGGGCTTCTACTTGCTCATCTTGGCCTTGTTCTCATGCTGGAGTCGGCAGAGAAAGCCATTTATGAATATTTGCAGCACAAATGCTTCGAATCTTTCCCCTTCATCAAGACCAAGCATTCTATTCTAGCAGCCTCAACCCCGTGCCCTGGGAATTCTTAGAATGGCACCTAGTAATCCATGATGACTTAAGCAGGTTGTCTAAATACCCAGTGGATATAAATGATGATCTGGTCTCCTCTTCATATTTGCATATTATTTTAACTCTTCTTGTTTTAGTTTTAACCTTATAGATCATTTTTGGGAACAGGTTTTAGATGAAGAGAGAGAAATTTGTCCTGGCAACCCTGTCTGATTCTGACTCTTACTTGTTTGCAAGGCATCACTCTTTAAAACGTTAGAAGAATTTTTATATTCATTATTACATTCAATTTCCCCCACTTTATCTTCGGGAAGGCAGTAAGTGGGGGGCTTCCCACTTAGTTCATCATATTCTCCTTGGGTGAAAACTCCTTGTTTCCAAGAGTATCTGAGTTCCTCTTTGAGACCAACATCCCTTTGAGATGAGATGAGGTTGCTCCGTCTTTCACTGACCCAGAGGCATTAGGGGAGGTGACAGTAAACAAAGCGGACTCTCATCTCCCATTTTCTGTTCTTTCCCAGTGAAGATGCTCTGTTTTCAAGCAAAAACAAGATCATCCTAAATGTCACCACTCAACACCCATCTGGACTCCTGAAAGCAAGCTGCCTTGTTTCTGAATCAGATGTCATCACCCACTGAAAAGCCTCCCGCCTCCAAGCTGGGCCGGGTGGGAAAGCCTCATCCATCTCTCCCAGCAAGGCTGGCTTACAGGTGACCATTTCCTGCTGAAGAAAGGGGATGGGGCAGAAACAGGTGGCAACTGAGAGCCAGGTTATCACAGCTTTTTTGACCCTTTGGAGCCCAACAGTTACAGAAATACTTGTTCAGTTGTGTCTGACTCTTTTGTGACTGTAGCCTACCAGTCTCCTCTGTCCAAGGGATTTCCCAGGCAAGAATACTGGAGTAGGCTGCCATTTCCTTCTCCAGGGGATCTTCCCAACCCAGGGACTGAACCCACAACTCCCACAGTGGCAGGCAGATTCTTTACCACTGAGCCACCTGGGAAGCCCATAAATAGTAATGGGCTCATTTATGGCTGTGAACATTTTACTCCCCACAGAGCCACATGGAATGTTGCCATTTTTCATGGGACACCCAGAAGGGACAGCAGGAAACCAAACATAGTCTCCAGGCTGGGATGGGGGGTCCCAGGACTCGCTGCCTGAAGGTACAGACACAGGTCCAAGCAGGCGAGCCGCAGGGCACTGAGATGCAGGGAAATCCTGCTGAGGTCTGTCTTGCGAGAAACGTCCTGTTTCCCTCTGAGATGCGGCTACGCTCTCCTCAGCCCTGCTGCGGAGCCTCCTTCCAGAGCGAGGCAAGGAGATGAGCAGGACGCAGTGGCACCGAGGCAGGAGAACGAGCGGCCCAGGTGCCAGCTGGGGCCGCAGTGGGCCCCTCCCCTCTCCCTCTTGCAAGTAAAAGGAACCCAGTGAGGGAAGATGGGTTTTTCTGAGATGCTAGTTTGCCATCTTCTCAGTCTGCTAGCTTTCCCATTAAAGTCATTCCTTGTTCCAACAAGTCATCTCCCGATTTATTGGCCTGTCGTGCCAGTGGGAACTTTGTGACTATAAATACATAACCCTCTTCATGAAGGGGAGGAGGGGGTTCCAAAAACACAATCACCCTCATGATTTCATTCATGAACATTTATATCAAGCAAAGGATTTCAAAACAGACTTTCATTACACGAGGCATTCCCAGAGAGGGAAGGGAAGCCGCAAGGAGGGTGGCCAAACGCTTTCTCTCCAACCCGAAGTGATGCCCCAGCACACGGCGGTTGGGGGTCCTAACATCTCAGATGGTGGCATCCCAAAAAGAGTTCTCCTGCAGCAAACAGACAGAAGACCTTTGTAAATTACATTCATCATTTAAAAACATGTAACAATTATTTGCACATGACAGAGCTGTGTGTGTGGAGTGTGCGCGCTTTACAAAACAGAAATGTGTATTTCTTCTTGCACTTCAAAGAGTCACAGACACAGATGTTTCTCAACACTGACGTGTACCAGACCCTTTGCACACCTCGTCTTCCGGTGTCACCTTCACCACAGGCCCAGGAGGTATGGACTACTACTGTTACCATTTTATACTGAGGAAATGAGGTCCCTGGGGGTTAAAACTGAGGTCAAATCAGCGACAAATGACAGAGTCAGTCTGATTCCAAAACTCATGTTCTTCCTACGATATGGCTTCACTTTTTCAAGGTTCGTCAAGTACTTGTGCCTTTGCCTGTACACACCTGTAAACCTTCCTGCTGGAGTAATCTTTATAGTTCATGGGGAAATGCTTCCCAGAGAGCTGAAGAGGAACAGAAGGAATTTTTTGGAAGTTACAGAAAGAAGTTTCGACACGTATTCAGGCATTTCCAGAAGGTAGAGCTGCACAAGAGTACAATCTCAGCATTAACTCGCATCTCATGCATGTGGGGTAGGGTGTCCTTCTGTATCATATTTAGGGGGTATTCAGTTGCATTTCCAAGTACAAACTGCGGCTCATCTTCGTCCCACTGTTTGGTCCACAATCTCCTTCCGCCGGTCAGACAACAGTCTCGGTTGCCGCGGTGGCCGTGTGGTCTTCAGGATGCCTGGGTTGCATCTCATCTTTGAAAGCCCTGGTCAGAACCACTTTCAAGGACTCCTTGAACCGCTTCTTCCTGCTGCTGCCCACGAAGAAGTAAATAAAAGGGTTGGCGCTGCTATTGATGGTAGAGAAGAGAAGAGAAACATGGTGCAAGTTCCTGAACGTCGACCAGTACTCGTAATAGAGCAGGTACAGGAGCCTCATGGGCATGGCGAAGATGAAGAAGATGATAACGGTGACCGTGATGACCAGGTACAGCTTCGAGGAGTGGGATGCCCACGAGTTCTTCCGGATCTTCACCACCAAGATGGTGCTGGACACCACCATGAGGGGAGTAAAGACCAGGAAGCTCAGAACGGCTATGAAGATGATCACGGCCCTGCAGTCACTCCGGGAGTGGGTCTGTCCCTCATTGTCAATGCACATGACATATTCCATGGTGGTTACCAAGCAGGAGAGTGCCCACAGGAGGGCGCAGACGAACGCTGACTGGTGCTTGGGGCGGTGGCACCGATACCAGATGGGATATAGGACAGACAGGCACCTCTCCACACTGATGGCTGTCAGCAGGTACAGGCCCGTGTTGTAGCCAAAGAGAAATGTCACCGACAACGTGACAATTGTGTAGTAATAGCTCTGCCCACGAAGAAGTAAATAAAAGGGTTGGCGCTGCTATTGATGGTAGAGAAGAGAAGAGAAACATGGTGCAAGTTCCTGAACGTCGACCAGTATTCGTAATAGAGCAGGTACAGGAGCCTCATGGGCATGGCGAAGATGAAGAAGATGATGACGGTGACCGTGATGACCAGGTACAGCTTCGAGGAGTGGGACGCCCACGAGTTCTTCCGGATCTTCACCACCAAGATAGTGCTGGACACCACCATGAGGGGAGTAAAGACCAGGAAGCTCAGAACGGCTATGAAGATGATCACAGCCCTGCAGTCACTCCGGGAGTGGGTCTGTCCCTCATTGTCAATGCACATGACATATTCCATGGTGGTCACCAAGCAGGAGAGTGCCCACAGGAGGGCGCAGACGAACGCTGACTGGTGCTTTGGGCGGTGGCACCGATACCAGATGGGATATAGGACAGACAAGCACCTCTCCACACTGATGGCTGTCAGCAGGTACAGGCCCGTGTTGTAGCCAAAGAGAAATGTCACCGACAACGTGACAATTGTGTAGTAATAGCCAGAAGACAGCTCGTAATCTAAAGCGTAGTCGACAGACAGAATAAAGATGCAAAAGAGCAACGAGATGTCCGCGATGGACAAGTGGGTGATGTAGACGGTGAAGGGATTTCTTCTCATCCGGAAGCAGAGGAACCAGAGGAGGATTCCGTTCTCAACAAAGCCCAGCGGGGAGATGCTCATGATCACCCAGTGCACGATGGGAATTTCCCGGCGCGGGTCCCTGACGGAGGTGTTCCCGCTGGTTGAGGCGTTGGAGGACTCCTCAGCAACAAATGATGTCCCGTTTGCCTCATCCATGAGGGGGCCTCAGTCTGGGTTCTTCAGGTAGTTTTCTGTAAATAAGTTTAGAAAGAAAATCAAGGTTGATGAATTGCAGTAAAAGATTTCAGCTATGGCTTGTAACCTTCATGTCATACAGGAGAATATGTCTACTAGACTGTACAGTGCTCTTCCCAATGAAGATAAAAATGAGGCATTTCACCAAGAGAGAACTGATCTAATGGCCTTTTGGAACCCCCCAGTAGCCTTTGGTTCTATACTGTTATTTGCTTGTGGTTCAGCACCAAAGGGTGTCCATCAGAGCAAGAGGATCAGATTTCTGGTGTCCGTTTCTGTTCTGGCCCAAGCTTTCTGAATGGCGTTTTGAAAATCATCTCATCTTCTGTTCCTTCATCTCCTGGCCTGAGAGACCAAGTTAACCGCGTTAAAATTCGATGACAAAGTACATGTTTGGGCAACACTGTTGCTGTCACTTTTTAATGCACAAAGTGCCATAAATGATGGGTGATTGAGAGGGGACAAGTAGGAAAAAATAGGTTCAGTAGGGTGCCAGTATGTTCAGAAGTGTGACCAACTAGAAGGTATGTGTTTTCTATAGTCTCAGTATCTGTGACGAAGCTGTGTACCTACTCAGACCAGGTGTGCAATGCAAACCATCCCTGGGGAACAGATGGTGCATTTCAACAAGATGTATTCGCATCCCCGAGCTCCATGGGCCAGACCACGCCGGAAAACACTACCAATAGATAGTAAACAAAGCACTGACCCAAGCCCAATAAAATGCTAAATATCTGAGACTGCAAAACACCAATTATCAGCAATTTTCCCTCACACTTCAGGAACTGCTAAATAAATGTATGCACATCCCCCCCCCCTTTCCTGTTATGTGACAAATATACATAAGCCACTTCCGCTGCTGGGGAACAGAAAAGGCAGGTGCCCACAGAGATCATCTTCTTTGCTTCTATTCATGGAGTCCTTGGCTTTTTATTTTGGATGGTGGTGGTAAAATATTGTTCTCTGCTTTCTGTCCTTGCAGACCAGGGTCCTATATGTGCAAAATAATCGACTTTTAGAAAGTTAATTGGTAGGGGCTCCCCAGGTGGCTCTGTGGTAAACACTCTGCCTTGCAATGCAAGGACCACTGGTTCAATCTCGGATCTGGGAAGATCTCACATGCTATGGGGCAACTGAGCCTGTGTGCCCCAACTACTGACCCGTGCTCCAGAGCCCACCTGCCCTTAAACCCAGGCTCTACAACAAGAGAAGCCACTGCAATAAGAAGTCAGCACACAGCAACCAAGGGAGCAGCCCCCGATCGCTGCAACTAGAGGAAAGCCCAGACAGCAGTAAGGACTCAGCACAGCCAGAAATAAAGAAATAAAAAGAAAGTTAGTTCGTAGACAGCCGCCTTTCCTCGTGACCTCACCGGAGGCAGAACAGAACCGAGATGTGCTATTTTGTGAGCAGGTGTGGAGTGGTGGTCCCATTCCAGGTGATGAGATCCTGGAGCCCACAGAGCTGGCTCCCCTCTCTTTACCATCACTCCCCTCAGTTGCTCTGCTGAGATGCTGGAAATTATTTTTCCTGGAGCAGATTCTCTTTTTGTTTCATAATCAGACCATAGAGGGAGAGACTCCAAAACTCTCAGGAGCCCAACACAAGGCCCAGAATTCCAATCCCATGGCACTGCTGTGCAGACTGGGCTTTGTTAAAAGTTTGTAGGTGTGAGACAGCCGTGTTCCCCAAGTTTGTCCATCAAAGATTTATTCAATGCCAACTTCAGGTCAGGCACTGCTCCAGGAATGGGGCTACAGCAGTGAAGGAAACAGACAAAGCACCAGCCTCTTGGGGTTAACATTTCGGTGGGAGGCAGTCAATACCCGATAACAGCAACAAACCAATACATGCCACAGAGAAAAGAAAAGCCTGGACCATGGCGAGGACCAGAGTGTAATTGTGGAGGCAGTGAGACGTGGTTAGGTTCTAGATGCAATCTGAGTTGCAGGTGAGGCAGGAGTTATTGTAGGAAAAGAGAATGGCTTTTAGCCATTTGTTGTCTGGACAATGCGCAGCGGGAGCAGGTTGGGAGGGGTCATATGGAGCTGGGGAATCATGCAACTGCCACGTGGAGCTGTCTTGGGGCATGTTGGGAGCTGGGGTTGGGGCAGGTGTAGCGAGAACAGGTGAGGTATAAAATTATGAGGCTAGATGAGATTGCCTATGAAACCTGGGTCATTAAAAAGGAGAAGAGGTCCAAGGACTGAGCCTTGGGGCACTTCAAAGCTTAGGGGTTGGGGGATGAGGAGAAGGAAGCAAAAGAAACTGGGAGGCTGGGAGCATAATTTATTCATGAGAGCAGGAGGGAAGGCCGAGTGTGCGGCTTAAAGTACAGACAGCTAGGTAGAGTGAAGAGGGGGTCTTAGAAGTTGCAAGAAGTTCTCTTCTGGATGTACAGTATCTCTGTTTTCAGCAAAGTCAGGAGCAAGTTCATCTGCTAAGAGTGACGAGGTTTAAGGAGAGAGGACAAGATGTAATAAAGTGAAAGGCGGAAAGACTGGGTTAATGTACAAAGAGCAAGATTTCTGGGCAAACCTCAGGGCCTGGCTGGACTGGGGCTCAGGAATCTAGAGTGAGATAATCAGCATGGCCTGTGTTTTTCTCCATTTATGGCTCAGCTATCCAGGTGTGAATGTGCAGAAAGAGGCGAGTTGGATTTAACCGGGATTGGGGTTCTACCGGGCTGGTACAAAGGAAACTGGAGACCAAAGGAACTGAAGCACAGAGACTATGGAATTCAACAAGATTAGGAGAGAGCTGAGGCCAGGAGAGAGGTGACAGTTGGTGAACAGGACATAGGAGCCCTTGGTCGTAGATCCCATCGGTGTCAGAGAGCTAACTGCTGAGGTCCGAGTCCTGGAAGTAGAGAACTGGAAAATAGGAGGCAGGGGTCGAAGAGTGGGATGCCCAAAGCCAAGCCTGGCGTGGTTTGGGTATTGATTACTGGTATTCATAAATGTGGTTATTGGTATTGGTAAATGTAGCCCAGGACCACGGGAGTGAGCAGCTAGAGGAGAGGGGAGGACGATATCTTCTGACATGAGATCAAGCCTGGAGCCAGGGTGTTGGAAGCATTGTCTACATAGACATTGAAATCACTGGGAAATGGGGCTGGAATACAGGACGTCACCAGAAAAAACTGGCTGTGAGCCAGGCGTTAAACCTTCAAGGAATTTCAGAGAGCGGCCCGGGGGTCTGTGGACGGTCACAGTAAGGAGGGTGGTGAGTGAGATGGTTGGATGGTGTGCACTTCAGAGCTGGGTGCTTTGGTGGTGATGGTGGTAATAGTGTTTCAGTGGGAAGAGAAGAAACGAACAGAATAACCTGAAACACAAAACAATGGCAGAGGGAGGAAGGGTCTCGATCAGCATTGCCCAAGAGAAATGCAATGTGAGCCATATGCGTAATTTAAGGTTTTCTGAAAGCCATAAAGTATAAGGAGAAACAAGTGAAATGAATTTCAATATTTTATTTAACCCAGTGTGTTCAAAATTTCATTTCAACATGTAATTGATTTATAATTATTAGTGAGCTACTTCAGTTTCTTTTTTCACATTAAGTCTTCAGAACCCAGTGTGTATTTTACTCTCATGGAACATCTTGCTTCAGACCAGCCACATTTCACATATACACCGGCCACACGTGGCCAGTGGTCACCATATTGGATGGTGCAGGTCTAGAACCAAAAGAACTTCACAAACCAAAATCAAAGACTAGAAATGTAAAATCAAGACCTAATCAAAATGTCTAAGAAAAGGGTCAAGAACAGTCTTTCTGACTCAGGTGAGCAGGCTGGAATCTCTCATAGACCACAGCATCATTCAGCTTTTAGTTTCTCATTGCGTCCAAGAGAGCTCTCGTGTACTCATAAAAATCAGTTAGGAAAGATGTTTCAACCCAGAAGACCAGATTGCATTTTTCTTTACAATCAAACCATGTAACCAAATCCACTCTCTGAAGATAGATGATCTTTTCATTTTTCAACCAACACGTAGGTTTCAGTTACCGTACTAAGAGTCAAAGATGCAGAAATAAACAAGACACAACTTTTGCACAGTTTGGCAGGGAGGCAGGCAGAACCAAAACTAATTCAGTATGGGAAATGGAATAAAGGAGACTGTGATCACATAAGAGCAAGCACGCACCAGGATTTCAAGGAAGGTTTCAAAGGGATGGGCCTTGAAGGATCAATAGGAGTTTGTTAGCTGAGGAAGAGAAAGAAAGGCATTTTAAGAAAAGAACAGATGGGCAGAGGTGTGGAGGCAGGAGGCACAGAATGTTGGAGTTTGTGGAACCTGGTGGGCCCTGGGTGGAGGTATGGCTTTATATACCAAACAACAATATTTCAGTCCAAATAAACAGTTGGAATGAAGTGTGAAGGTCTGGGTATGATGCTTCTTTAAATATCAGACTTATTTTATAGGTTATACTTATCCAACATCAGTGCCTAAAAATTACATAGAATTCCTTATTTAAAATGCAAATCCCAGGGCCCCACAACTTCAAGAAGCCTGGGCTGGGGCCTTGGAATCTGACTTTTCATAACCCAGGGGATTCTGATGCAGATAGATCCTGGGCCATGGTTTGGCAAACACAACCATTTGCAAAACTCTGGAGCCATTAAAGTTTCAGTGCAGGCCTGGGAGGTGGCCTGAAGCATGTTTTAGAAAGGTTACCCTGGTCACAGTCTACAGCCTGAATGGAAGGGAATTACGGATGCAGCAAAAAGCCAGTAAGGTGTGGTTGAAATAGCCCCAGTGAGAAATGAGAACTAGGATACTGGCTGGAGGAACGAACGGATTCCAGAGACATTTCAGAGCAGGCTGGTCAGGTTCCTGTGTCCACGAAGTGGGAGAGAGATGGGGCAGCGAGTGGACTGAGCCTCCCATCTGAAGAGGCTGTGTAGGCAAATGCTTAGTGGCTGAGATCAGGAGCAGGAGGGACAGTGGCCGGGGAACCAGCAACTGGGTTCGTGGTGTGTTGAGAATGAAAC